TTGCTATGCGGTTGCTAGGGTACCCGGCGCGGTTGCTAGGTTGTTGCTATGCGGTTGCTAGGGTACCCGGGGTGGTGGCTAAGGTGTTGCTATGTGGTTGCCAGGGTACCTAGGGCAGTTGATAGGGTGTTATGCGGTTGCTAGGGTACCCGGGATGGTTGCTAGGTTGTTGCTATTCGGTTGCTAGGGTACCCGGGGCAGTTGCTAGGGTGTTGCTATGCGGTTGCTAGGGTACCTAGGGCTGTTGCTAAGGTGTTGCTAAGATTATAGGGTGTTGCTATGCGGTTGCTAGGTTGGCTTGGATAGTTACTAGAGTGTTGCTATGAAGATGGATAGATAGATAGAAATAGTCAGATGATAGAGAGAGAGATATAGATAGATAGATAGATGGAAATAGTCAGATGAAAGAGATAGATAGATGGATATAGACAGACAGATAGATAGATATATGATAGATATATAGATAGATAGAAATAGTCAGATGAAAGATGGATAGATAAATGGTCAGATTAGAGATAGATAGATAGACCATTTCTATATCTATCTATCTATCTATCTAATGCTTTTCCAGGCCTTTAACGCAGCCATTTTCAACTGTTTCTTTTTTGGGGAGTTTTTGTCTTTAGTCTCCTCTTCAGCTGGTGAAATGTTTAGGTATATGGAACATAGGTCCATATACCTGTAATGTAAATAAGACAATGGATCGCACTTAATCTGGAACCTCACCCTTAAGCATGCCAACCTAAAGAGTGTTTAAACGTTTGAAAGAGTGTTTAAGCAAGTTTGATTTGCTCTTGGGATCACAGGAACACACAAGCCTTTCCACCACGTCAAGGTGGCGATCCTTGGAAAGGACACACACACACACACACACACACAAACACACATGTATGCACATAAAATGTATAGGCATATCAAATGAGTGTTACCTAATGGATTTTATTTCATGTATCCTCATGTATATTCATGTACCACTCATGGATCTTTTTAAATAATCCTCTAAATTAATGGTTTCTGTGAAAATTAGGTCAAGGCAACGACAACGGGTTCTAAAATGCCCCCTGTTGATTCCACACTATAACTGATTGATACCATTTAGAGTGTGATCACACAAGGAATGTGGTAGCAAGAAATCAGTCATAATCAGCCCTATGGGATAATGCGGTTGTTGAATGGACCTGGTTCAGTGGAATTCTTATTCAGGCAGCTTGTCATTTCTTACAGCCCCTACATTGATGATGCTTCTGGCCTCAAAGCATCACATCTACTTGACCATTTTGACTGCAGTACTCATTTAAACCGCTAGCTGTCAACATTTAATACTGCACTTTAAAGCTTTTATGTTGACAAACTGCAGTAGAGCTTTTATTTTGATGAAAAATTCCAGCTTCAGTGAAAACAGGCTTACAAAAACGTGTCTCAATACAAATCTAGTGAAATGCTGTAATCGTCTGCCCATCAAAATGTTGGAAAGTATGCAAATGTGAAAATAAAGCATAACTGGTGGCTGTTGCGTTCCCAAACTCGCGCTAAACTCACAGCACGTTAGGGCTGCCACTAACGACTATTTATTTCGATTAATCTATCGACTAATTTATCGATTAATCTAAACAATTAATTTACCACAAAAAAATCTACAATTTTACATACGAATATTTTATTAAACTATTTTATTAAACCAAATGAAATCCAAATTTCTATGAAATCCTTTTTTTAAAGCAAAAGTAAAGTCCAACATAAAGTGCAAGAAGCAAGTGTCCATCTCATCGTCCAAATCACTGAAATCAGAGTTCAGTATTATAGTGTAAGAATGACAACATGTCCACGTGTTCTAGTCTACTAATAATACAATTATAATCAAAAAAACACTTTTTAAAGGAGTATTTACCAGAAATGTTATTTACCAGAATTTATTTAGGAGAAAAATGTAAATGTGCATTATTTCTGAAAAAAGAGAAAAACATCCTCTCCTTTTTTTTTATTTTTATAAAATCAATTAATTGGAGATGCTTTTGATTATTAAAATTTAATGGAACCATTAAAATGGAATCCAGAAAATAATGGAAAACAGAAATTATTTCTGAAAAAAGAGAAAAACATCCTCTCCTTTTTTTTTATTTTTATAAAATCAATTAATTGGAGATGCTTTTGATTATTAAAATTTAATGGAACCATTAAAATGGAATCCAGAGAATAATGGAAAACAGAATTTGGTAAAGATAAAACTGTAAAACTCAATTAGTTAGACGGGCTTTTTGATTAATAAAATTTTATTTAACCATTAAAACAGACTATATGAAAATGGAAAAAAACTGAATTTGGAAATAAAACTGATTTCATAGGGCCCTGTAATTATAATACGTTTTTTTGTGGTAATAAAAATAGATGTTTGATGCTTGAATATTAATTTTTCTAAATATCTGCGTATTTAAAGGATTTGAATGTACACTTAAATTTCAAATGCACTATTGTGTTTTACTTGCAGGTCTGAGCTCTAGAGGTGCAGATGGAGGATTCAAGAGCTTCCATACAGGTTCACTCTCCCGTTTTGTACATGCAGTCATTTGTAACTCCTTTTTTCAGACAAAAGCAAATACACAGTCATTGGCTGACATTGACAGCAATGCCTGTAGCACAGCAAACCCTACTGTCCTGCAGACTTAATTTCCAACCCTGCTCCAACACACTGCCTGTAGTTATCAAGTAATCCTGAATGTCTTGACTAGCTGGTTCACATGTGTTTGATTGAGGTTGGAGATGAAATCTGCAGGACACTAGCTTTCCAGCAGCAGGATTGGAGACCCCTTCTATAGCATTTGTTGTGTTTTTGCAGCTATGGACTAGAAATATTAGATGCTAACTTTGTTTTATGCTCATTAAGATGCTGCTTTTTAGACAGCCTGCTTTATTCTCCTCTTAACCCTTTGACGCGTACGATCACACCAGTGTGATCAGTCTTGGCTGGTCCCTGAAGCATACGATCACACCGGTGTGATCAGTCTTGGCTGGTCCCTGAAGCATACGATCACACCGGTGTGATCAGTCTTGGCTGGTCCCTGAAG